GTGAACACACTGTCAGTGGAGTGGTAGTCACCACATGGCTTGCCCAGGGAGCCTGATCTTATCTTAGTTCATACGCAACACGTTGCAGTCACCATTTCTTATTGGAATCAGGCCTTAACTGGGATCATATGTAAAAGTAAGATATGCTCTTTTTTCCCTTGTCAATCCCTGTCTCCCTTACTACTGGAATGTGGTGGAAATTGTTTGATATGCTTTCCGGTGCTGTAAAGGCTGCTTTTCAATACAAGGTGAGTCTTCCCGCAGACGACTTGGCCCTGAGAGACAGAGCAGCATCGAGAATGGATTGGGATAGAATTTCTACTGTAGCTCATAAGTAAAGATAACTAGGGGTTTTAACATTGAAAGTCGTGTTTTTTTTTTTTTTTTTTTTTTTATGGGTACATGATATTGTATATCTTTATAGGATACATGTGATGGAAAATGGTGGTATCTAATGTCAACCTCCGGAAAAGAGAGATTTCATAAGTTAAACTGAATATATGCTTACATTTCTGTATTTATTTTTTGTATTGTTATTTTCATAAGTAAACACATACTAGAAAACTACAGAGAAGCAAGAAAAACTAGACACCACCTACAGGTCAACTACCTAAATACCGTTTCTGAGAAAACTCATGGGGAGGAGGATTTTGCCTGTTTTATATTCTGCTGTATCCCTAGCACCATGAGCAGTGCCTGACTCACAGTAGGTGCTCACATATTCCTTGATTGTACACACGAATGTTCTAACAGCAGGGTGGCAGCCGGCTCTTTGGTTTAAGTTAAAAACAAGAAATTATGCCACTGTGGCTTAGCTTCCCAAACAGGCTGTGTAGAAGGGACAAGGTGCTAAAGCTTTTGTGGTGTTGACGTTTCTTCTGACTGGTTATGTAGGCTTTCCAACTTCTGTGCACCAAGTACTTTGAGGAACGTTTGCAGCATTTGTAAGTAAATATTAGGTTATTAGCATGAAATGTCTAATTTCCTTAAGTACTAAGTTTTACGGGTGATATCTTTGACATTTCACTTTGACAATTCTTGCTTTATTTTTATTGTGAAGGCACATCCTTATTCTTTTAAGTGCATCGCTAGGCTTGTGATTATCTTTCAAAGTTCTTTTTGGAGCAATTTTTGTGAAACCATGGATAAGTCAAAAATTTGTTGTTATTTTCAAATATGAGTTCCATCGTGGACCCAATGCGCTGACAGCTTGAAATATCAACAAAGTGTTTGGGAAGTATGTAGCTAATAAATGCACAGTATGCTGATGGTTTGAAAGGTTCCGTTCTGGTGAGTTTAATCTTGAAAATGAGCCACATGGGTGACCTGAGACCAAGGTGGATAATGGTGAGCTGAAAGCTGTAGTGGAAGCAAATCCATCTCAACCTATGTGTGAATTAGTAGCAAGGATTGGCATTACTATTCAACAATATTGAACCATTTGAAACAAATTGACAACACAAAGAAGCTGGAAAGATGGGTACTGCATGAATTAAGCGAGCGTCAGGAGAGAATTCTTATGGAAACTTGCCTTTCTTTGCTGTTGCAACATGAAGGTGAACCATTTCTACACTGCATAGTTACGTGTGATGAAAAGTGGGCTCTTTTTGACAATTGCAAGTGTAGGTTTGGCACAATGGCTGGATAAAGATGAAGTGCCGAAACACAGTCCCAAACCAAATATTCATCAAAAAAGCTCATGGTGTCTGTTTGGTGGTCTAGTGCTGGTATTATCCACTACAGCTTCATGAAACCTGGTCAATCCATTACAGCAGATGTTTACTGCAACCAATTAGACGAAATGATGAGGATGCTTGTGATTAAGCAGCTGAGATAGGTCAATAGAGACAGGCCAGTCCTCTCGAAAGACAATGCTCGACCACATGTCGCACACAGTGTTGCTCAAGCTACAGAGGCTGCACTTGGAAACTCTGTCCTTCACCATATTCACCAGACCTTGACCAACTACCACTTCTTCCAGGCTTTGGACCACTTCTTGCAAGGAAAATATTCAGTTCTCCACAAGCGTGGAAAATGCCTTTTGCAGTTTCATACCCACTGGCCCTCCAGGCTTCTTCACTGCTGGCATATCCAAGCTACTGTTAAGATTGCAGAATTGTGTCGATAGTTTAGGCACATACTTTGGTAAATCGTACTGCTTGTTTGAGATATAATAAACTAACTTTTGACTCAAAATCAGACATGTCCTGTTTACTGACCTAACTCTGTAGGTGGGAGTGCCCATTCCATGAGAAGGCTTACATTGAGGCGACACAGCCTCCTAGGGTATTAAAAAATGAGAATTGGAAACTTCTAGGAATATAACCTAGGGAAATAATTGAATAAGTGAGCAAAGATGTTTATTATAGGCTGTTCATCACAGGTTCTTTGTAGTGGTAGGAAATTGGAAGCAAACTGAGTGTGTCTGATGTAGGGACTTGAAACCCACACGCAGCATGTTTGGAGGCTTGTTAATATGGAAAACCATTAACTAAATGCAGTTTCCCCATCCTGTTTCTTTGTTTGCTTTATTGTATCTTACTTTTGGCAATTCTTCTACTTAATATGTCTAGAAATATTTATATCCTACAATGGTCATTATAATTATTTTTCAGTGTTCACATTTTGGCCAATTTAATATTTATCTGTATTTTAGAGTGTTTTTTTATGGTGAATGTAGACTACCTGTGTAGTTTAAAACAAACAAATTGCAGGATGGAATAATTGCTGAGAACGAAAGCTGTAGAGTCCCCCACCCCTAACTGTGCCACTAGACTCCTTGCCAAGACGATTTGAGACGTGGACCCGGCACTCGTGGCCCCGGTGGGAGGCTGCGTGCCAGATCCCAGCAGCAGCAGCTTGTGCTTGGGCCCGGTTGGAAAAAGAAAGGAAGTTGCCATCTGATGTATCTCGAGCCTCAGAAATGACTCCCCATCTGCCAGCTGGTTTCCATGGGCACCCAAGCAAAAAGAGAAATTGGGAACTGGATGAGGCTGGTTAGCCGTGGGGGAGGTGTTGGGCAAACTGTACATCAGGATGCTAAAACCCAGCTGCTCAGGGTGGGGAATACACCTGTCATGGGCACAGTCATGATTTTATCCCCAGACCAAGAACAGCCCTGCAGGCAGCAAGGAATGAGGGCTCGGAGGCATCGAGTGCCCCTGGTATGTGGAGAGACCTTCTGCACAGTCAGGGTCCGTTAGAAGGGTAGAGGGAGGCTGAGGATATTCTTTAACCCTTCTGCCCAGGGTTGTGGCCACAGGGTTGGGAAATCAGGAAATGTGGTGTGTGTGTGTGTGTGTACACATTTTTTTAAACATACCAACCAAAGTTGGTATGTTAACCAACAGTTCAACCTGGTTACCTGACTTGTTCAAATAGGATATTACTTAGTACTTACAACCTGCGGGCCCCTGACGTGGAGGCTCCAACCAGGGTAGACAGTAGTGGGTTTCCTTGACCCTTATGGACATTCTGTGGCTGAAGTTCCCCTAGTCTGGATGCTGCATTGTGTAGGGCTGGCCAGCAGGACTAGGTCATAGGGGGCTTTTGTTAGAGGAACTGGGAAAAGCACCAACACTGTTTTTATACAGTTGCTGGATGGACCACCTCTTCCTTCCTAGCTCCTCTACCCTAGACTGGAGTGAATTCACTGGAGTGAATTTATGGGTTAAATGTATTTTCCAGCACCCAGCTCCAGAAACAATGTTGACAACACCCCAGAAGCAACCCCCACTTCCTGTAGCCCGGTACAGTCATTACACTCACTGATCATAACCAGTGTCCTAAAACTATAGATTAGTTTTGCACTTGATATAAATGGTATCGTATACTACGTCCTCTTTCATGTCTGCTTTGTTCACTGAGCATTATGTTTTGAGACATCTGTGTTATTGCCAGTAGTCATAGTTTGTATTTTGCTGTGTGGTGTTCCACTGTGTGTGTAAATCATAGTTTATCCATTCTATTGTTGATAGATATCTGGATAGGTTGCAATTTTTGGCTATTACCAATAGGGCTGGACACAAACATTTGTGTACTGTCTTTGGTGCACATATTTATCCATTTATGCAGGGGAGGCGAGTTCTGGGTCATAGAGTATGGCTATGTTTAATTATAGTATTAATAGATACTGCAAAATGGTTGTCCAAAGTGCTTTTTACCAGTTGATACCCTCACCAACAATGTATGAGACTTCTGGGTTGTTCCACATCTTTGCCAACTCATGGATTTTCTTTTTGTCTTTTTACTATTAGCTATCCTGGTGGGTGTGTCTGAGTATCTCATTGTAGTTTTAATTTGTATTTTTGGTGAATATTTAAGTTGAACCCCTTTTCATGTGTTTATTGACTGCTTGGATAGCCTTTTTTAGAAGTCCCTGCTGAAGTCTTTTGCCCATTTTTCTATTGAGTGTTCTGTCTTTTCCTTGTGTTTGGTAGGAATTCTTCATGTAATCTGTCAGATACATATTTGTAAATATTTTCTCCACTCTGGATTACATTTTTAGTTTTTAAATGATTTTTTTTTGACAAGCAGAAGTTCATAATGTTAATGTAATTAAATATATATATATATATTTCCTTTATGATAACACTTTCTATATCCTGTTTAAAAAATATTTGTCTACTCTAAGGTCATGCAGATATTCTCAGTTTTGTACCTAAAAGTTTTATTGTTTTATCTTTCATCTTTGTATCTACAGTCTATTTGGTATAGATTTTTGTGTGTGGTATGAGGTGGGGTTGAGATTCATTTTTTTTCTATGTGGATATCTGATTGACCCAGCATCATTTTCTAAAAGATCTCCTTTCCTCACTGTACTGCCGTGTTGCCTGTGTGCTTTCGGCAGGGGTGACAGGGTTGCAGATGATAAAGTACCGGTATGGCATAACTTCTCCTGTGAGATACAAGATTCCAACTCCTATTCTCAATCTCAAGAAGAAGAAGTTATTTTTCCTCCTCTCACTAAGTGGGAATTTTAATTGTGCTTCTGCTTCCAGGATACCAAGGGTTCGAGTTCTGGAGGACGAAGAGGGGTCGAAGGACATTGAACTGTCTGATGACCCATATGACTGCATCCGACTAAGTGTGGAGAATGTCCCCTGCATTGTCACTCTGTGCAAGGTATAAGTTCGTATCTTAAGGTTTTTGTTTTCCCTGAGGATGTGGGTCTCTAATCCCAACCCGTTGAGGTAATTTAATAAATCAAAGAAGTTATAGTATCACAAACCACATAGAAGTAACTTCAACCCAAATCCAATAATTTGATTATATTATAAACCACTACCATAAGTAGCTCTTTCTTTTTTTAATTGAAAGATATGACATAGTCCTAGGAGCACAGGAGTGGGTCATAGTAAGAGTAGCCAGAGTTTGTAGGGCTCCGTGTACACACCATGCACTTCACTTAATACCCTGCATGCACATCTCCTTTAATTCCCTCAGCCCTACAGACCTAAAGTGGTTGAGTAGTGGTAGGGTGGCAAACACTGTCCCCTCTGCAAAGTGAGGGGTGGGTTGGAGCAGGTCCTGGGCGTCTCATGTGTCAGGTGTGGTTTTCACATAGTGCAGAGGCCCGTGGAGCCAAACATCTGGCTGATGCAGATGTGTGATGTTGCCGCCCCCGGCTGTGCAAAGAGGCCTGTAATGGCGGGACTGTGGCTAATTCCACACAGGATTCATTACGTAAAAATAAGGCTGAATGGATCAGGTTTTTTCTACCCAAATCACTTCACAAACCAGGGTGTGGTGAGATGTTCAGACAGAAGGATGTTGGGTCTTGACTCATTCTGGAGCTTGTTCCTTAGCAGGACCCTCATGACTCACGCTTGCCATCGGGGAAGGAGCCACGTGGCCTCACGTTTGGATTTCTCCCCTGTGTCCTTGTGTGGGAAGCGCTGGTAGCCTTTGACTTGGATTTACAGTTCTAAGCCCTGTTGTGCCATCTTTCCATTTCATGTTTTTATTGTACCACGCACACGGTGGCCTTTAATAGAATTGTTGAACATTCCTTCAAACGCTTTCCTTAGGAGCAGAATCTAAAGTCAAGTCGTGAATGAGCAAAGCATGTTGCTTGCTGGTGTAGTGATTCCTACCATGAGGCCGTCAAGGGTGTGGCTTTGGGGGGTGCGTTACCCACGCGCGTGCTGAGCTGCCCTGACTGACTTTGCAGATTGGCTATCGGCACGTGGTGGACGCCACTCTTCAGGAGGAGGCCTGCTCCTTGGCCAGCTTGCTGGTGTCGGTGACCAGCAAGGGAGTCGTGACGTGCATGAGGAAAGTGGGGAAGGGCAGCCTGGACCCAGAGAGCATCTTCGAGATGATGGAGGTGAGGCTCGGGTTCCAAGGCAGGTGCTGAGACCTGGCTGGGGGTGCTTGCTGCTTCCTACCCCGTTGGTCACACCGCGGGGATTCTCCCCATTTATACCCTTGACTTGGAGCTTGGATAATAGCTGGTGTGGGCTGGGGGTCTGCTGACCTAGCCAAGGCGGCTGGGGTGGGGGCTCTGGACTGGGAGGTGAGGAACCTACCAGTAGCTGTTGCTTTTCCTTAGCAAGTCCTTCCTCCTCTCTGTTCCCAAGTTTCTACATTTCTAAATGAAAGTATTGCACTTTGATAATGTAAAGAGTCACTTGCAACTCCAGCATTGTAAGCTCGTGTGATTTGATGAGGGGATTGAGTTCCTGGCTGACTGCTTTCTATCCCTTGAAGGGAGCGAGTGAGTAAAGGTGGAGCCAGGGACTGAAGGGCGGCCATCTTCCCAACTGTTCATAGCTCTAGAGGTGTTTAAATGGAGACCAGTGGGAAATCCAACCTCCTCCGGGGCAGGGTGGGCCGCTACCCTCTGGGCCCCGGCCCCTGGCAGCGTCATCAGGGCACGTCTGGTCTGCGGCTGCTCTGTGCTGTTCGCTCCACATTCCAGCTCCGTCACTGGCCTGGAGGCCCCTCGGGGCAGGGACCAAGTGGTGCTCACCTCTGTCTTCCCAGACCTTCCTTCCCGCCACATCCACCTCAGCTTTCTGACTGACTGCTCCTCAGCTGCCAGGAATAGAGGTAGCCAGATCTGATTACTTACTTTTTCTCAGGTAACTACCGTATCACCACAGAGATAGCAAGCACTCTTCCTCCCTTCTTGGAAACGATGACTTTTCACTGAAGAATCCAAAGCACTTGATTTCTATGTTCTCTTTTTATCATCTTATTTAAAAGAACAAGGCGGCTGATGTCTACAGTGTGGAGTTCCCCATCGTGGGCCGTGAAGACATACTGCCCAGGCTGCAGATTCTGCAGGGTCTGGCCGCTGTCCCCTCATCTGCAAAGTGGGAATAATGACAGTAGTGTCTGCCTCAGAGGTGGTTATGAGGGTTATGTGAGGGTGTGGAGGGGAGGCGTGTGTCTGGTACATCCCATCAGTTCTCAGTAAATGTTGACTCTCATTCCCTGGGCTCCATCGAGCACCCTGAGTTCAGGTTCCTCCAGAAGCACTTACAATGCTTTCTCAGTTCTATCAAAGGCCGCTCTAGACAAGTGACTATCAAACCTGTTTTAGAAGGTATTCCTTTCCTGCTGCAAGAGTATTTTATGAGCATTCCTGTATCTAAACAACAAAAATAAATAATAGCTGAAATTTATTGTGCCCTTACTATGTGCCAGTTTTCAGTGCTTTAAATGTATTATGTCATTTAATCCTCAACAAGTCTGTGAGGTGTAACTGTTGTTATCCTCATTTTTACAGATGAGGAAACTGAGGCACATAACTTGCCTACAGGCCTCACAGCTCATAAATGCTAGGATTCGAACCCAGACTGTGTGGCTCCGGAGTCCCTGCTCTCTGCCACTATTGTTGCTCTTTCAGCCTTATAACCTAGATCTGCTCTGGCTGCGGTAGGCGGGAGAAGTGGAGCTGAGCGTTTCCTCCCCTAGAGTTTGGGGATGAGGTCTGCTGACTCTGATCATGGGACTGCAGCCCTGTGGCCCGGCTCACTGTTTGTCTCACACGGGGATGCAGCAACCCAGAAGTGACTGGATGGCTAAGCTGAGCGCCTCGGGGGTTGCTTTGCAGGCTGCCACCCCCAGCCTCTGCCGTCTGTCTCCTACAAGTCCAGGTTCAGAGGCATTAAAGCCCTCACAAGTCCTGGCATCCTGTCTATCTCATCTGCTCTTGTCCTCTCTCGACCTTCATTTATATGGACAATTAGTGCTGCTATTTGATGGGCTTTGACATTTTTTCTTTTTCTAATGTGATAAAAATTTTTCCAAAGGCATTTTGGACCTTAACCCTGACTTTGCATTTCATAGAGTTGATCACTTCCCAGCCTTTTTGATTTAGACAATCTTTTCATAAGAGTTTTAAGTCATGCTTGGAATCTCATCCTACCTTGTAGTTAGGGGCCAAGGGAGAAGGCACACATTAATGACTCTGAGAATACACCTGTACCTGGGAGGACTGGGGCAGGGATGTAGGCCTGGGTGTCTTTCTCGCTGACATTGTTGGAACCAGTGGCAGAGTTAAACTGCTATGGAACATGTAAGACCTGATGGCGTGGAGGCTTGTGATTGGTTCATTGTATTCTTAAAATGATTGGTGAGCCCAGATAGAGATAGAATAGCAGTTTCATAAAGAAAGATTTTAGTATATTGGGTTTAAAAAAATTTTTTAGAAGCCCTCTTGTATCTGCTATGTAGGGGCTGAATACTAAATTTGGGCTGTCTGACCTCTTGATGTGTTCTAAGTCCAACATTCCACTTCCTTTAGCATCTCCCTGCATGGCAGTAACACCAAAGACCCCATGCAGGTATTGACTGTGGTGACATCTAAGCAGTTCTGCTTGGAGGCTTAGTGGGAGGTAAATTAAGAAACTGCAGGCCAGGCGTGGTGGCTCACGCCTGTAATCCTAGCACTCTGGGAGGCTGAGGTGGATGGATCGTTTGAGCTCAGGAGTTCGAGACCAGCTCTGAGCAAGAGCGATACCCCATCTCTACTAAAAAAACAGAAATTTCCACAGAGGTTGAACTAGTTAAAAAAAAAAAAAAAAAAAAAAAAGAAGAAAAAAACAGAAATTACCTGGACAACTAAAAAAAAATTATATATATATATACACACACACACATATATATATATATAAATATAAATATATAATTAGCCGGGCATGGTGGCGCATGCCTGTAGTCCCAGCTACTCGGGAGGCTGAGGCAGGAGGATTGCTTGAGCCCAGGAGTTTGAGGTTGCTGTGAGCTAGGCTGATGCCACGGCACTCTAGCTCAGGCAACAGAGTAGGAAAAGAAAAGAAAAAGAAACTGCTTGCAGAAGTGTCCTCAGCACCATCTGTTCCTTCTCCAGACAAACTCTGGATTCCCTGTGGTCTCCCTAGGCCTTTTCACTACAGTGCAGTGTCACTGTCACCAAGCCCAGATCTGTTTGACAACTTTGCTGCTTGTTGTAATGGCGGCAGGAATGCTAAGCATAAGTTAATGACGAAGGCAGGCTTTGTTGCTTCTTGTTTGTTGCCTGGGAATTGGTGTCTTTCATTTTTATTTTTTGCTATGGAGGTTTTTCCAAAATGTAAGTGTTATGTTGTGGTTTGGGGTTAGTTTTTGTTTTAATTAAGTGAAAGTCCCCTGAGGCAGATGGAATGTGTACAGCGTCAGCATGGCTAGCTGGCAGAGGGGACGCGTCCCCTGGTCAGAGCGCGTGGGCCTCACGAGTGTGTGTGCTCTCTTTCGTCCCTTCTGCAGACCGGCAAGCGAGTGGGCAAGGTGCTGCACACCTCCCTGCAGAGTGTTCTCCACAAGGAAGAAAGCCTGGGGCCCAAGAGACAGAAAGTCGGATTCCTGGGATGATTTGCGCATCGTCCCCTCAACTGCGGATTGTTTGTTTTTTTACTTTTGCTTTCAAACTGAAGTTTGTATATATTTTTCGTAACTGTTAATGAATTTAATGCAACATTTGTACCTGTAAAATTAAAGTCTATTTTCTGGTCTGGTGTGGTATGTCTAGAGTTCTTCAGCTGGAAACCAGGATGCCATCTGTTGACCCCTCAGAGTCTGGCTCTTGCCCGGTGAATGGCAGCCAAGTCCTGGGCCTGCCGCGTAGGGACAGGGCTCTGGCCGTGGGCTTCCCCAGGAGACTTATGCTGCAGGCGCTCAAAACAGCAGCAGTAAACACACTGGAATAAAGACCTGGCAGGAAATGGTTTAAAGGAAATGCTTATGATATGTATAATATTTGGGGAATTTTTTTCCCCTTGTAGAACTTTCAAAATAAGAATCAGAGAGAAAAGTTCATTTGCCTTGTGTATTTGGGTGCTTCTGGGGAGGAGAGAAGAGGAAGCACTCGGCCCCAGCTACGGACCAGACCCGCACGCCTGCCTGGCCGGTGAGCCTTCCCAATCCGGAGGAAGCCCACCTCTGGCTTCCTGCCCGCCAGGAGATCCAGGTGCAACTCCCTACGGTCAGGGCCTTAGTGGCCACTTTGGCCCTCAGCCAACCTTTCTTATCACTCTTGTTTTGAAATTGCATTGTGTTTTATAACCACTCCCTGGTGTTTCCTAAGATTTCATTGTTTTATCAGAATTAAGAAGGCTGCTTCAGAGATGTTGTCATTTGATTACTCATGTGCCTTCATACTCCGGGGATGGAAGGCCATTCCTCATAGCCCTGAACGGTCTTCCCATAAGCCTGTGTTCTGCACTGTGTTCACAGTGCAGTGTGCTAGAGGTAAGTCTCTCCATGGGTAGAGCAGTCTTTGTTATTTTCCAGGGGAACCAAAACTCCTAAATCAATCTTAAAACACCCTGGGGAAGGAGCTGATTCATGGAGGAGAGTATTTCAGCCGTGGCATTTGCTTTCTGCATTTCAGTTAGACAAATGGGGTAAGGCGTTAGGAATTTATCGCCTAACGGAAAGAACATAATGTGAGCTGAAGCCCTGTGGACTGCTTCCAGAGGCCCTGGTGTGGGCGCCGCCTCCAAGCACGGCCAGGTCCATCCCTGCGGAGAGAAGCAACTGCCTGGATTTGGGCTTGATGTGGAAGCTGCTGCCCTGTTGAGAACACAGCCTGGGTTTTCATCTTTTCCTGTAGGCTTTCCCAGTGATTTCCAGTGACCCTACAGGTGCCGTGACACTCAGTGCTCCCCACAAGGCAGAAGCCAACTTCGTTCCTCCTCCCCTGCTCCCAGCTGACCGCCCATGACATGATGAGACAAGCGCTGGCGGCGGTGCAGAGATACAGCTGAGTTTGCACGACGATCAGCTTCATGGGATCATTGGGCGAGGCATGAATTAGAACGGGGACTGTCACAAATGTGAAACTCAGCTTCATCTCCCTTCAGACAGGCAGATGAGATGCGGCCAGGCCAGTTGTATAACAAACAGCTGCCCGGCTGGGCTGCAGTAAGAATAAGGAGAGAAATAGATATCAGCGTCTATCTCTAACCACCTCTCCTTAAAGCCTGCCCCTACATATAAGACGTGTAGGTCACAAATAAAATACCACACCAGCAAGGTCTCTCCGGGAGAAGCATTTATTGGAAACGTCTGATTATTGCAGCTCTCAGAAAGAATAGAGAAGAGAAAACTGACAGCAGAAACTGGCAAAGACTTGGAAAAATATTGTTCTAGAGAGGCCTGTTTCACCCAGCACAGCCAGAGCTGTATTTAGGGGCCTTTAAATAAACATATCAGGGAGAAGAACATTGAAGTTGGCCAAAGTAAGAGCGGCTATATTGTTTCTGTGCTTCTTGGTTTCCCAAATCAAGTAAATTCAAGCCTGCAAAGCACATGAATTTAGAATATTAATAGTTGTTTGCATTTGCTCAATAAAAGTAGTGGTCTCACATAGAAACTGCCAGTAGATTATAACTGTGCTACTACAGACTTTTTGGAAACAATCTAGCAGTGTGTATTAAAAGCCTTAAAAATGTTCCTGCCCTTTGACCTAATAAATCCACTCCTGGGAATGTAACCAAAGTAAATAATTCAAAACACAAAGGGAGAGAAAACATTAAATACAGAGAAGGTCGTCCCAGTGTTATGTATACATCCCAAATAATGGCCACAAGGTAAATGCCAGTCAGTGGGGGGACTGTTCAGTGCTGTCCTATGTGGCGTTAGACGCCTCTGGTGGGCTGCTTCCTGCCCTCGGCCCCGCCCGCCGCAGGCCAGCCACAGCTGCAGGCTTCGCTGCACTGCGTGACAGCCAGATCGCCCCAGTGCTAGCCATAGACCTCGGCTTTCCTAGGCGCCCCTGACACTGTGTCCTGGGAACTGGCAGGAGCCCACTCAGCATTGAGTATGTGCAGCCCAGCAGTCCTGGGCACTCGGTGTCTCTGGAGGCAGCCCACGATCACTGGGGGATGGGAGCCAGTGGAGAAACGCTGCTCCGTTTGATCCCGGGGCGGAGAGTTCTGAGAGAGGTATTTGATATGCTCGTCAAACCTTGCCGGTGGGATCACGCCCCAGGTGCTCATCACTGGGATCAACTCTTCCTTCCCTGTCTTACTCTCCCCAGTTCTTCCCTCTTTCACCCTGTGGGATCACCTCCCAAATAAACTATCAGAACCTGAGTCTTGTCTCAGGCTCTGCTTTTAGGGAGAACCCCAGGCTAAGCCGTTGGTACCAGTAGCTGCCTTAG